TAATTTCTCTTCTGTAAAGCACTTTGGTCAGCCTAGCGGCTGCTGTAAATGTGCTATACAAATAAAATGAACTTGAGTTTGAATCAATCGGAGCAGTTCCAGCGTAAATGACTCACTCAATTGAATCGGTTCGTCTGTTCCTCCGCTTTTCGCGTCTTCAGTCAGGTTTACACGACACTGTCAGCACTATTACTGGCTCAGCTCGCTAGTTTTGTGACATTAACTGAAATAAGCGAAAACAGTATGATGTTTACAAATAAAATACCAATATTTCCATTCCACAGATAACATCCAACACAAATCTAGAACATATTCAGGCGAGGTAACCGGTTTACTGCTAACTAGTGAAACTCTCCATTAATATGACGAGCTGCAGCTCAAAACACATGTTAGATGGAAACATTGTGCTTTATGATCGAGTTTGTAGCTTAATTGACTATATTTGAAATAGTTTGACGCTGCAGTTCAGTTGCTGACAGCTCAATAGAAATCAGCTGAACGCATCCAGTGAATCTTCAGTTTATCAGTATATAGTGTAATAAATATGTGAGAAATTCTCTGGATATTGGTAGAGACATGCCATAGCGTCCCTACTAAATTCTACAAACTTGTTATCACCAAATATTGGATTCAATCTTTTGTCAGCTTGTTTTCGTTCAGTTTGCACAGGTGTTGAGTTTCGTGTTGGAATTGATTGATTGATTGATTGATTGATTGATTGATTGATTGTACACATTTACTCTTTATCAGTTCTTGCTTTCCCTGGTAATCAAACCCACAACCCTGGAGTTGCAAGCGCCATCCTTTCCTCTCTAAACTACAGGAAAGCGCAGGAAACATGGATGTTTTTGTGCTGTTTCTAAGTCTCGTTCTGTCCATCTGGGTTTTTTCACTGATACTCAGACGCTGATGTGTTTCAGATTCTAGACCAGAATAGATTTCATGCTGATATATGGACGGGAAACACAAGCATGAGCGGTTTTGGCTCAGCTTTGAGAACATGGAGATCTGTGTGTGAACGTCTGCTGACCACAAACCCAGCAGAACGTCCCAGAGTTTATTATTATTATTATTATTTTAAAAAAGTATTAAACAAAATAATAAATATTCCAAATTAACTCCCTGCAATAAATCTAATAATAATAAGGATTATTATTTTAATACATGTATTATTACCATAAAATATGAAACAACAAAATTCCTAACCCTTACCATCCTGCACAATTTGGCCATAAAATTGTGATTATATATCGATATGACTATAAAATCATAATAATAATTGTATTATTATTATTATTATTATTACTACTCAATAAAAATATTTAAAAAATATTAAAATAAAAATATTTGTAACCCTAACTATTCTTATATTTAAAAAAATACAATAAAAAAAATTGAGTGTTTAAGAGAAATAATGTGTCTTCTATTCATTTTCAGACTTTCAACAGAGAGACTAGGCTTTTTATTTGTGGTGTAATGTTGGTCCAGCAGTTAGTCCAGGACTAACCAGCATAAACCAGTCTGGAGACTCACTGAGTTACTCAGATGTTGTGGAACACAAGGGCCCTGAATGCTTACTGCTGACCATGCACATCACAACATGTCTTCCCAGCATGCTCTGCTATACCATGTGCATTTGTTCCATCGTCTCAGGTTTGGGGTTTTGCCCTGGTGTTTCAATGCCTCTATTTTCAGGGTAAATGTTCTGAATTATACGCTGTCAGTCTGTTCTTCAGTGGTGATGAGGAGAGTAAGAGACACGTTTGCTGGTGACTTCATGACCCAACCGTGCACTAATTACAGGGAGTCTCGTCCGTACGCACGCGTCTCTCCGTCCCGTCTGCTGCTATTTCCATCTATTAAACGCTTCCATTTGGCCCGTGTGTGTAATTTACTGAATCCAGCGTCCACATCACACATGCACGTCTGCCCCCGTTTGTCTTGCGATCAGGCCAGTTGCAGTTGTCTGCCAAACACAATGCACTAATGATTATTTCTAGCAGGTAAATGGGCTTGTGGTGTCCAGACATCAGCACGTGGAACATGTGTTTGTGTTTGTGCAGGTACAGGTCCGATCCACATGAACGCGGTGCAGTGTTCGGGCCGGGAGAGCTCCATCACACAGTGCCGCTTCCAGGAGGTTCCGCGTTACTCAGGCAAACACTCCCAGGATGCATCTGTCCGCTGCAACGTCCCCAACACCGGCCTGAGCGCGACGGTACGTGCAGACACGTACTGTAATAGTACAGTAATCTTCCGCTTTGAGCCATTGGCAGCCTGTAGAAGCGGATGGTAAAAAGTTGTGAAATTTGGCACACCGATAGAGGACAGTATGAACATTAATCACAGCAAATTTGGAGTCTCTAACTCAAACTCTCTAGCGCCACCAACTGTCCAAAGTTGCACTCATGTTATTCCAATAACCGTAAGGACTAGAATCAAAATTCTTGAAGTTCTTAGCCTTTTTAACTCCTCCTAGACTGTTGCTCTGATTTTCACAAAAAGCAAACCAGATCATCTTCAGATCATGCCGATAAAAAGTTCAGGAATTCGAATCGATTCGTCAAATCGTTCTCGAATAACACACGGATAAATTTGATGAAGAGTTTGCCGAAGTGGAGATGAGACTATATCTCCACAACGCTTTAACATATTCTGACCAAACTTGGTGTGTTTAATGACAACCGTGACCTGAGGACACCTGCACAGTTTCGGCACAGCGCCACCTAGTTGTCATGAGATAGATTCCTTGGATCATGCCGGGAACATAGATACCAGTTATGCTATACTTCCTGTTTATTTTGATCTTCTTTGAAAGCCTTCTTTTTCGAACTCCTCTTAGACTGTTTGTCTGATTTTCACCAAATTTGATTCAGATCATCTTAAGATCATGCCAACAAAACAGCTACTGAACTTGTGCCAAACGTTTATCGTTTAACACATCAACAAATCTGACGGCATGATGCCAAAATGATTTTGAAGCTGTAACTCTGTGACACTTTTGCACATTGACACCAAACTTTGAGCACGTCACTGTGACCTCACACTGAATACACCATATCAATTTTGTCACAGCGCCACCTATTGGTCAAAAGTGATCAGCAATTAAATAATATTACAAGTGATTGTCTTTGTTTTTTCAATGATTTTGCCGTACATCATTTATAAATGGCTTTGATTACTCATTTCTGCAGTTGGTCTGATGTTCCCTGCCATGTTTAGCTCCTCGTTTTCCCTCTTGTTGCACTTAAGTGCTGCTTGCATCCATATTTTTGGATCTGTGATGCTCAGGTGCGTCTGGCGGGGGGACGGGAGGCGGCGGAGGGCCGGGTGGAGGTGCTGATGGAGGTGAACGGTCAGCAGCGCTGGGGCTCCGTCTGCAGTGAGAACTGGGGCATTAATGAAGCCATGGTGGTGTGTCGACAGCTCGGCTTCGGCTTCGCTTCCAGAGCCCATCAGGTACGTGACGTTAACTCTGTACTACATCTGTACGTCCCAGATCTCATGATGGAGGAGCATTTACTTACTACACTACCGCTCAAGAGTTTGGGATAAGAAGCTAACCATCAGTAGCTATGTTTCCAACCAAAGTTGTGCATTTAACTATGAAAAATGAGAATATAACATAAAACATATGTGAATGAAGCACCGTCTCCATCCCATGTGTTTAAGAGAATAAAATGGTCACTTTCTTGGAAACTGGCACGAAGAATCATAAATAAAATGTTGCAACCGGTGAAGTCTGGCTCTTTTTCTTACATGATAAACGACTCGCGCCAGAATCGCAATAGCAAACGCGGTCATGTGATGTTGAGTTCAGATGCCTGATGTTTGGGAATCAATCATGTGAGATAATTACACTCAATTATTTAGATGATGGATTTGGCTCAGGCATTTCAAAATATTAAAGCTGTATTTGAGATGGTGTGCGATGAGATGAATTTATTCTGTAAATGTGTTTCCACCGTAGTTTCTGTGCAAAAAAATGATCAGACTCAGTTGAGCAAATACATTTTTTTATGTGCATTTGTAGAATTTATGCATTTTTTTAATGCGATATCCCAAAATTTGCATAAAAATAGGTGGATGGAAACATAGCTAGTGCAACATTTCTTAGGGAGATTGTTCTAATCTCTTTTCCATCACACTGTGAAGAAAACTGGCCAGCCAATAGGATTTGTGCTTTTGGTCACATGGGTTAGGAAGCATGCCAGTGCAGTTTGACTTGATTTCTTTTCTGTGACCAGTGGCTGTCAGAAATGTAATTTCTTCGTGTGTGAACAGTAACGCTCGGCTCGACTGCTATTGTGCTGAAGCAGCTTGAAGAGACTCTTATGAGTGACAACTGAACGATCACTCATTGAAATCACTCTTATTAGTAACGGAGAGCTGAATGTGTTTCACTGTCACTGTTTACACCCGTGCAACTTTTGTTTTCACGGCTGTTGTTTCCCATGCAGAGGTAATTACAGCCCTGCACAGATTCAGGG